GGCGCTGTTTCCTTAAGGGCAACACCCACACAAGCCCCAAAAGGTCGCCGCTTGGATTGACCCCCTCCCTCTCGACTCCTCGTACCCCCCCCCCCCCCCCCGCTCAAAACACGCCTTCTCTTTGGAAACCTCGCGCATTCACGTGCTGTGGCGCTGGCGCTCGGTCGCAGCTCATCAACAAGGGGGCGAATCTCAATGCGAAGACTCGCATCGAACACACGCCGTTGCATCTAGCGTGTCGCTACGGCCACTACAACATCGCTCTGGCCTTGCTAGCGAAGGGGGCGGAGGTGGACTCGAGGGATAACGAGCTCAACACGCCGCTACACAAGGCGTCAAGGTGCGTGCTGCGGCGTTGTGTTTTCGGTGCCGGTCGGCATGCAAGCGGCAGCGTTATGCGTTGTTTGTGTTTCTTTTTTTTTTTAGTTTTTTTCTTTTTTTTTCTTTTTTCTATGCAGGGGGAGTGTTGTGCTTTCTCTGTGCTTTTTTTGTTTATTTATTTTTCCGAGGTCTCCATCGGCCCCATCGAAATGATCGAAACGATCAATTTTCTTGTGTTTGTTGTTACGCGCATGACGTACGTGTGCTTGTAGATGAAGTAGTTCGCTCCAAGCAGCGAGGCGTGGGACCAAGTTGTCGCCGAAAGTGCCTTGAGTGTTATCGAAAAATCTCGTCGACCGAAAGGATTGAGTACTGTTTTGTACAGCGTGGTTTGAGACGCCTTAGGGGAAAATCGCTCAGGGAGCAGCAGGGAGACTTTTGAGGTTTCAGGAGAAGGTTGCGTGCGGTGCGATCTCTTCCTGGACATTTATCTGTGGGTGTCCCGTGTCATGGACAAGGACAAGGAAATATTAGGAAGGGTGGTGGGCGTTTGTTTAGTTTTTTCAATCTTTGGTTTGGGGGAGAGCATTTCAGGCTCCGATTTGCCTTCGTTGTCTGATTCGTGCCTTCTCGTCATCTCGCGCTTCGGTCTCTCCGCCAACCCACTAACGCTTTCGCCCCCGCCCGCCCCATTCTCTCGCTTGTCAGCAACGGCCACGCCAACTTGTGCCTGGAGCTGGTAAAGAGAGGGGCAACGGTTAGCGCGGTGAACGCGTCGAATTACACACCGCTTCACTGGGCCGCGTACAAGGTGCGCAACGGCGAAGAGAGAAAGAGAAAGTATATCTTACTTCAGTGGAACACTATCATCGCCCGCTTTACTCAAGTAGATCTCAGACAGGTCACAATCTACGAGGCAGTCTGAGGTGATGACTTTCGAGCTTTATGAGAAAATATGAAATATATCGCATGAAATATGCATTCTGTCCATGTTCTTCTGTTTACCCTCTATTATAATAGGATGTTTGTATGTAGACACGAGGCTCTTTGTCCCCAACGGGAGGTGAGCATCTCGAAAAAAGCCAAGCCAGGAAGGAAGGCCCTGTGCCGCCCCGATAAGCCAACCCTGGGCGTGTGCTGTACCTGTGGCTGCTATCTGCCGTTACAGGGGTGCTTAATCGTGTTGGCGGTGATGGTGCGATGATGTGATGATCCTTCCCTCCCTCTGAATGGAGCGGTGAAGGGGATTAATGATTGATTCACCACTCGCCACGTTCTCGCTGCACACGCTAAATGACATTTCAGCAGCACTTAACTTAGCGTGTGGGCATGGCCCCCAACCCCCCCGCTCCCCCCCGACTTCGTCTTTTGCCTCTTTTCAGGGTCGCACGGCAGCCGTGGAGGCATTACTGCAGGTGGGAGCGGACCTTACGGCGGTGGCAGCAAGAGGGACGACGTCGCTGCATGCCGCCAGCTACTACGGACACCTCGAGTCGGTGGTGATAATGTGAGTCGAAGGAATGAGGGCCCGTGTAGGTTTCTAGATTTCACGAGATTGACTGACGGGCGGCAGTTCGCTCGCTGCCTCTGGTTTTGGAGGTGTTGGGGGTGCGTTACGGAGAGGGGGGGGGGGGGAGGAGGACTCCGGGTTTGGTCGTTTCTGTTCGCTGAAGAATTTTCGGTGTTCGGCGTTAGGGCTGGGGCTTGCATTGGGTTACCGCAAGAGGCGGGGAGAATGCACCCCCCCCCCCCCACCAGCAGGGAGGCGCCCCCCCTTTCTGGGACCCCCCAAAAACCCCCCGGGGCCTCCCCCCTGGGGAAGTGAAAACCCGGGCCGGGGAAAACCCCGGGGGCCCCCCCCCGGCTTTTTAGGGGGGCGGGGGCAATGGGCTAACCACCCCCGGGTGCCCAACTATTAATTCCCCCCCCCCCCCCCCCCCAACAAAAAGACTTTTTAAAAACCCCTTTTCATTGGCCCCCCACCAAGGGGGGGGGGAAAAAGGACCCCCCATTTTCCCCCCGAA